CCATTAGCCCTCATTATTTGCAAAGGGGATCTTCCCATCCCAGAACTTAGAAATTGTCCTCATTCTTTTTTTTTAAGTTTTTAGAAGTTTATTTATTTATTTTGAGAGAGAGAGAGCACAAGCAGGAGAGGGGCAGAGAGAAGGAGAGACAGAATCCCAAGTAGGCTTTGCACCATCAGCGCAGAGCCCGAAGTGGGACTCGAACTCACGAACTGCGAGATCGTGACCAGAGCCGAGATCAAGAGTCGGATGCTTAACCGATTGCACCACCCAGGCACTCGTTCTTTTGAACAGCTGTAGAGTGCTTTATTGCTTAGAAGCGACCATAATTTATTTCACTTTCTTATGGCCGTTGGCTTGTTTCCAATTTTTCACTATTACCAACCACACCACACTGAACACCCTGGGATACATAGCTTTGCTCACTTGATGAGCTTATCTACCAGATAGATACCGGCTAGATAGATAGATAAATAGATTTCTAGAAATGAATATGTGCATGTTAATATTGTTAAATATTTCCAAATTACCCTCCAAGAAGGTGATGCTAATTTACATTCCCACCAACAGTGTATGAGAATCTGTCTCCCCACAGTGTGCCCACACTGGTCACTATCAATATTTATTATTCATTTGATAGATTATGAAAGGGTCTCATTGTTTTCATTTACATTTCTTTATTAATGAGGGTGAGCTGTTTTTTTTACACATCCTTATTGATTATATGCGTTTCTTCTATGAATTATGCAACCATGTTCTCTGACTATTTTTGATTTGTGTTTCTTGTCTGCCTTTCACTTATTGACTTGTAGGAACTCTTTTATTTATTATGGATACTATTACTGATGTGTTGATTGATTTATTATGGATTCTATAGGTGCCATAAGTATATTTCTTCCAGCTTTTCATGCATTTTAAAACTTTGCCGTACTTTTTCCCCTTGCCTGCTGACGTGTGCATCCTCAAAGGTCATGCTTCTCATCGATATTGAGTTGGCTTACATGAATACCAATCATGAGGACTTCATAGGCTTTGCCAAGTGAGTGCTCCCTAGGCAGAGAAGGTGACAGCTCCCGGGAGTGCGTGTGTGTGTGTGTGCGTGTGCGTGTGCGTGTGTGTGCGCGCGCATGCATGCATGCATGTATAGGACACAGGCCTGCTGGGCTGACCCTCTGAGCGTGGTGCCCACTGGGTAGTGGCATTGAAGCAAGGCCTCTTGAGAGAAGTTCTGAGACTCTTCCTTCGCTCCCTATTAGTGCTCAGCAGAGGAGCAACCAGATGAACAAGAAGAAGGCTTCAGGGAACCAGGTGAGTGAACCCCAGTGCCCCAGCCGGAAGGATGGAGGGTGCCGGACGGACGCCAAGCTCTGAGAGTCCCCTCCCCCCGAGGGGAAGGGTCTCACAGGGGCCAGGGAGCCTGTCAGCTGCCAGCCACAAGCCTCCCACTCTGCCTCAGTAACCCTCTCTCCTCTCTCCCGATGCCTCTCGTGGTTGCTATGGTTACCTCTTTGCAGGATGAGATTCTGGTGAGTACCAGGACTGGGGCTCTTGGCTTATGTAGTGAGGGGGAGGAGGGGGCCCATTTGTAGTGGGGACACACGGGGGGGAAAGGGCACCTTGGCCTGAGCTGCTTGCACACACCAGCACATGGGTGTCCACACACGATCTCAGTCCAGAGGCAAGGCTTAGCCATACACAGAGCCCATCAGCCTACCCATCAGTGTGCATGAGCTAAGTATCTACTTCAGTCAAAGGTAGATCATGTGGGCCGGGTGAGTGAAAATGGCTGGTGGGGGCCTGGAAATCATTAGGTGCTCCTTAAATATCTGTTGGATGGATGGATGGATGGATGGATGGATGAGAGAGAAATCTATTTTTAAGGTAGCCATCTCTACCAGAGAGTTGAGTAAAGAGATGAGTGAAATATCAAGAAACATGTCCCTCTTTGCCTTCTTCTGCCCTTCAGATCTCTGCTGAAACACCACTTCTCATCCTCACCTGTACACACAAGCCATAATCTGGAATTTTCCAGAGGCCATAGTTTCTTTACAATAATCTAGGTGTTTGTGTGATTATTGGCTTCATATCTGGTTCCTTCTCAAACCCCATGAGGGAAAGGGCTGGGTCTCTCTTGTCCATCAGCACATTCTCAGCCCTCAGCCCGGGGCCTGGCACACAGTAGGTGCTCACTAGAATGAAGGCACTGATGAATGTAATATCCCAGGGCAATTCGGTTCAGCAAACGCTCGGTGGCGTCTACGCTGTGCTGGTCCCTGGACAGGAGTCAGACCTTGGTGCTGTCCCTTGGAGACCCGAGCCTGCAGTCAGGACCCAGGCAGGGTGGGAACTGGAAGAGCAGGAGGTCTCTGGTGCAGGGGCTCTGGTTGGAGGTTTGGCAGAGCTGGGGGTGGCCGAGGGAGGACGAAGGCTGCAAGTCAGCAGGAAGTAGCATGACAAGGTCTGCTGGTCAGATCCTGGGGTATGGAGTGCCGGGGCGTGGCATTTGGACTCAATTCTGAAGACAGTGGCAAGACACTGAGGGGATCCTCACCGAACCGGGACAGGGTGGAAGAAGGATCATGGGGCACCTGGCTCTCTTGTTTCTGTTAAAGGCTAAGACAGCGACGCCGCTACTGATCCACTGCGTGACTTGGGTTCTCTGCAAGGTTCTTGGGGAAGCCAGAGAGGGTCAAGGAAGGCTCCAGGAGGGTTTTGGGGGCCTCGGAAGTGGGCCTGACCCCAGAGGGCTTTCCTGCGAGCCCCAGGCTCCTCTTGTCTTCTCTGGATGCTCAGAAAAGCCAGGGAGGTCAGGGCCAGGGGATGGAGCAGAAGAAGCTTCCTCACACTCAGGATGGCCCACCGCTAGGGTCTACTTAGTGGCCTTGACCTTGGAGTAGAATCTGCAGGCCCTGGTCTGCGGTGATGGCTCAGGATGGTCTTGGGGACAGCAGCTTCCTACAATGAAAAGAGACCTTTGCCTGTTACTCTGGGCTCCCCAGGGACAAAGGGGCCTGTTCAGTTCGTGCTCAGCCCTTCCCCTTGCTCCCACTCCCCAACACCCCACTCCTGTCCAGAGCCTGGGGCCAGAGACCCGGAGAACCCTACTTCTGTTGCATTCATGTGTTCATGTCACAGATGTTTATTGATCACTTTCTGCCTGCCAAGCACACTGCAAGGTGCTGGAATATACCAGTGAGCTTTTAGAGAGCTCACAATTTAGCAAGACAGGCATCAAGAGATGATGTCTCTCTCTCTCTCTCTCTCTCTCTGTCTCTCTCTCTCTCTCTCTCACACACACACACACACACACACACACACAATTTTGAATATCAGCCATTGTCACAGAAGGGAGTGATAAAAGACAATAAGACTATAGTGGGGGTCCTGACTCCTACTGGGGGCCAGGGAGGGCCCACCTGAGAATGTGACTCCTGAGCTGATGCCCGGGGCGGGGCGCATAGGAATTTGACAGACAAACAGGAGGGGAAGTGCGTTCTAGGCAGAGGCGGCAGCAGCATGTGCGAAGTCCCTGAGGTCAGAAACAAGTCTTACAATAAGGTGCATCTCAAGCTGAAAAGACCTTCAGAATCGTGTGGCCCGGTTGGCCACCTCAACTCGACTCCACACTTTGAGCAGTGGGGAGCTCATCCCCTACGAAGGCTATCAGTCCCCTACTCAGGTGGCTCTAACTATCAAAAGGCTCTTTATCCCGACCCGACCTCTGCCTTCCTGCCTCTTCCAGTCTGTTCACTTGTGGTTCAAACCAGAGCAGGTCTGGCCTGCTCTGACCGGCCAGGCCTCCAAGAGCTAGAAGAGGGGCGGGCTTTTGAGCACCTCTCTTTGCCTACCCCGTCCTCCGCAGGGAATCCGGGCCTCTGCCCACTGACCTCCCGCCCTCTCACCCTCCAGGTCATCCGGAAGGGCTGGCTGACCATCAACAACATTGGCATCATGAAGGGGGGCTCCAAGGAGTACTGGTTTGTGCTGACGGCCGAGAATCTGTCCTGGTATAAGGATGACGAGGTAAGGAAAGAGCCACTGGCCGGGGGTGAGGCTCAGACACCTGGGCTAGGAGTAGACCGAACCACCCAACAAACGGGGTTTTTTTAATCCCATCAAAGACCCTCGGATGGAGTTGGGCTGCGAAGATCCAGGCAATCCCGGGAGCTCATCCAGGCTGGACAGAGAAGATGGCTTATCAGGATCGGGGAGCCTGGGGCTCAGCGCCCTGGAGAGGGTGGGCAGGGGTGCTGGGCACCCCCCTGACCCCACCAGCCCTGTGGCCTTCCTGTTTTCCTGCTCCAAGGGCGCGCCGCCTCCCCCGTGGCCCCCACAGGCCTATGACACACACACGTCCAGCTGCCAGACGCCCTGTTAACCCCTGCACCCCAGTCCCCCAGACCCTGTCGGTGCAGAGGAGGTGCCCCAGATGCCTCGAGGCTGAAGGACCAGGAGTGATGGGGCCCTGTAGAGGAGCCACGGAAAACCCCTCCTTGCCCACAGGGGCAGACAGAGCCCCTGCCGTCTCCCTCCCCTGCTGCTGGTCTCCTTTAAGAATGAGTCTATTTGGCTTCCACATCTGGATTCCAGAGGTGACCAGAGAGAATAGGGAGGGCTGGGGGTGGGAGGGGGGCTTGTAGTAATGAACTCCAGCTGGCCACAGAGTGGGGGAGGGGACCCTCTTCCTGAGGAAGCTTTTAGAGGAGAGGGCGCTCTCGGTGGGGGAGTGGGGCTGGGGTGGGGGCTGTGATTTTGGTCTCCGAGCCCCCTCCTTGATCCCCGCCCCCTCCAAGTCATCCCGGGCAAGCCCCCCCCCCCC